TTCAACGTCAGTCATCGAAACTGTGAATGGTTCGCATGATTTCGAAATCGCAACCACCAGACCCATAACCACCACTGTTCCCGCTGCACAACCACCATTCACCCCACAACCACTGCCGCACTGATCATCTCTCTGCAATTGCGTTGACATCGTCGGAGAGATGATGAAGTTAGGGATTTTATTTGTGGTATAATTGTCAGGGGTATAATTGTCTTTTAACTAATCTGATATTTTGAAATAAATGTTATTAAAAAAATAGAGGCAAAGTTGTCTTTTCCCATGTTTTTAAAGGAGATTGTGATAGAAAAGCAAAAATGGACCTAAGTGATAGTTATTTTTGAAAGATGTTTGAGGCTGATATTTGGCCAAACCTGAGGGGTTGTCAGTGAAATTAACCCTTTAACTTAATATAAAGTAATATAGAAATTATAAATTAATTAAAGTTCTATAATTGTCTTACTCAATTGATAGATAGATGAATATTTATATTTATATTAGCCGTGTCCACACTGTGTGAGTGCCTAACTTTTTTAGAATTTGATGTGTCGGCTTATCCATGTCGTATCGTGTTCCATGTTCGTGTCCATGCTTCTTAGACCTAGAGTGGTTTTAATTTTCTGATGGGATAAGGATGGGAACTTTAGGCTCTGATATAGAGTTAGTGTGAAGGTGTGTTTTTTCTTTGTGAAATCCAAACAAGAATAACCATGAGGCTTAGTTCAAGCAAACCAAATCCACTATGGGAAAGAAGTTGCAACCAGGTTAACAGTTTGCAAACCCTAGAACCTGTATTTACTTCTTGATACAAACTGATCCACCAAACTTTTCACTTGTATCTTAAGGCACAAAGTCCGCACATAAACATATCTGCTCCCCACGCAATCCGCTTCTTCAATCAATGATTTGATCTCCAATGACCAGTCATCTAAATCAATCTCGGTTTGATTGAATAGTTCTTGGTGTTGAACTTATTCAAATTAGCTCCACAACAATTATGTTACCAACACACTCAAATAATGACCACCAATCTAAGGCAGTTGATGGATGCTTGAAAGAAAAATATGCATGCACTCAGTTGTGACTAAAAGCTCTAAAAAATGCCTCTGTATATTCTCTGGGTATATAGGATTTGCACTTTGGGAGTGTCTTTGTATGCAAAATAGTGTTGTGGAGAGAATAAGGTTTTTAGGGGAAAGAATTGCTTTCTCGAAGCTCGGTTGACTGAGAGACTTATCGATTTGATCGACATGACTGTTGTAGCCCTTGGTCCATACCTCGACCAGTTGATCGAAGTACTGTGCAGATCTATAATTAATAAAATTTCACAAAAGGTAGTTTTCAAAGCACTTTATGTGCATATTAATTAGGATTCTGAATCACATCACGAAATCTCAAAACTCTAATATATAATGCATGAACCCTAGTTTTGGTAAGTGTATATAAGTGTCAATTTACCTTTATACCCTTGGTGTAGAAGGTTACCTTTTTGCCCTTGAATGAAGCTTGAATTCCATCTTCAACATTCGTCAAGAGGTAACTAACAGAGATTAACTTTAATACATTGTAAATAAACAAATTAAATACATAATTTCAGACTCAAGTTTTGTTTCACAGAATATGCAAACCGAAGTCCTATTGACCTAACAGTTTCTAATTTTGGGGTGATGGTCTCCATCCAATCTTTCAGCTTAATGGAATTGACCTGTAGAAAATTGAAGATTATTTGTGTTGAATGCAATTGAATTTAAGGGGGTGACTCGATTATATTCTTAGAAGATTACCCTTCCTCTTGTATTCGTCTCCTTTTTTATTTAATTCTATTGAATTAAATTAGTTATTTAAATCTCAACTGGCCCTTGATTTTTTTGAGCCTACCTCAACAAAGAGGTGTTTCCCAACTATTGGGGGATCGGTTATATAAATCATGTTCCAGCATTCTGCTCTCTTTGATGTTATAACTTTAGTTAAGCTATTTTATCTTTCCTTATTATTTTAACCCATGATCGTTTTGGTATTCCCCTTCTCCTATCATCATCATCATCCTCGCCTTAATCTCGTATGAGTAGGGTCGGTCACATGAATTCTCTTTGCCATGACAAGCCATCTTGCATAAAATATTTAATTTTTAAAATCATTTATAATGATTTCATCCCATGTTAACTTCGATCACCCTATTTGTCTCCAACCTTTGATGCAAATTAGTCTTCCTCGTCTTACAAGATCATTTAAAGATTTTCTTTGGATATGTCTCTACCACCTAAGTCTATTTCCTCTTTCACCAATAGGCATCACTCCCTATTTCTTCCTTTTATTTTGATTAGTAACTCTATCTCTTCTAGTGACCCCTAACATCTAACTTAACAATCTCATTTCAGTTACATGAATTCGTCATTTCTAGTTCTTTTTTAAAGCCAACACTCTAAACCATATAAAATAGTTAGCTCATTAACTAATCGATTAAAATTTTCTTGTAATTTATTTATTACTCTTTTATCGCATAAAATGCCATTAGTTTGTCTCCATTTTGTCCAACCTGCTCCAATTTTACTAATTATAGCATCATCTATCTCAACATCATTTTTTATTACTGACGCTAAGCATCAAATATAGTTATTTTGGATAATCTTTTGGTTTTGATTGTTATATTATCAATATTGGAGTCTTTACTAAATATTCATTCCATCTATTCAGTTTCAGTCCTACTCATTTTTAAACCTTTTGATTCTAATGCGTTCCTCCACTCTTCTAATTTTATTGTTTAATTTTCGTTAAAAGTGTCCAATAGCTTTATGTCATCGACAAACAACATGTACCATGAAATCTCTCTTTGTAAGTATTTTTGATTTTATCTAATATTATTTTGAATAAATATGGACTTGGTACAAACCCTTGGTGCAGTACTACATTTATAGAAAATTCACAAGTCTCACCATATGTGCAATCTCTAGTTTTTGTTTTTGCATACATATCTTGAATAATATTTATCATTGCTATGGGAATTTGTTTTTGTTTTAAAGCCCACCAAATTATATCTCTCAACACCTTATCATATGCTTTTTCTAAGTCTACAAAGACCATGTGTAGATCTTTTTGCTTTCTCCTACAATCTTCAACTAACTGTTTTATTAGACTCCTTTGTGGGTCTCCCTGACATAAATCCAAATTGGTTATCAGACACCGTGGATCTCTCTTTGCCATAATTCCATTGTATGACTCATTAATTTACTTCCTCAATAATTGTTGCAATTTTGTATATCACCTTTGTTTTTGTAAATAGGTATTATCATGCTTTCCCTCCACTAATTTGGTATTGTTCTCTCTTCTAGAATTTTGTTAATAAATTTCTTAATCATCCAATTTCTACTTTTCCTAGTGTTCTCATGTTTCTACATATATGTTTCTTTTCCATCTTTTTAAGTGCGTTCTTCTACTTCCTTGTGGTTAAGTTTATTTACGAATCCTATATTAAATTCATTACTTTCCACTTCTTTTCTAGGGTATTCCACATTAAGAAGGTGTTAAAAGTATTTTTTCCATCTAGCTAATATGTCCTTATCATTTATTATATTTTATGGTTTACATCCTTAATACATCTAATTTGATTCATGTCTCTATATCTCTACTCTTTGTTAATTTATAATTAGTTTTTTCATCTTCTTCTGTTTCTAGTTTTGCATATAAATCATTTAATGCATTTTGTCCAGCTTTACTTACTATCTTCTTAGCTTCATTTTTTAGTCTCTTATATTTTTCTTCCCCTATCATTACCCCAATATGGATCACGCCACTTTGAATTATGATATAACTTTAGTCAAGCCATCAACTATCATATCTTTCCTCATCATTATTCTCAGTAAAGATTATGTCACTCTTCATCAAATCACTCTGCCCATGACTAACAAAATCAGTCCCAGCTCCGGGAAAAGAAACTTGCATTAGGGTGCCTACAACCAGTGAAAAACCGTTCATTGTGTTTGGATAAGTGTGAGGATTGCCTCTGACTAGTTCAATCCTAATACATTGTTTGTCAACCCTTAGTGAACACAAATCCTCGATTTATTTAGTGTATCATCCCTAAATCCTATTTCTGAAGTCCTTATCCTTTTCCCCTACCTATTTGGTCTTTAACTTGACAACAACATGCTGAATTTCTGGCAACTTGTTTCCAGAAAATACAACTAATTGCTTTTGAAATTAGACATATTCAAACCTTTTTCAATTGCCAAAAACTGTTACGTTATCTATCAGATTTGGACCAACTATTGACCTGTGGTGATGGCTGGATCAGAGGTCAACCAGTTCAATTGTGTTTAACTCAGCAGACCTCGTCTATTTTTCAATAGCCAAATATTATTAAGTTCCAATTTTTTTAATGGAAAACATATATTTTTGGTTTTTGACGATTGAGCTACATATGATGCTCTAGTGTGTATAAGCATCCATTGTATGTGCCAAATTTCTAATCTTGATTTTCTTCTTATATATTTCTTTCCATATTAATTTTTCTCTTCCCAATTTTCTATATTATAATCTAATTAGTTTCTATAAAAGTACAAGTGTAAATTAAGAATGAAGAGAGGGTGAGATAGAAATGCCAACAGTAACATCATATTTGGTCTCTTACCATGTGGAAAGGGTACATGGTTTGCTGCAAGATGGCATGTGACTATAAGCAGAGAAATGGGTTCTGTGCCAGTGTGTTTGGATTAATTTAGGTATTCCATGGAACACATATAATTACATTGCTTGGATCAGTTTAACTATTCCATGGAACACGTGTAATTACATCATGATCCATTGACACTGCTTGCCCCTGGAAAATTTAATGTCCTGCTCAAAACATTCTTATGGTGAATTGTAATTTTCCTCCAGATTTTCTTATATCTTTATCATCTTCTAAATGCACATTTTATGGTATGATGATTATTTAGAATATAAATATCATTTCCCTCCAGATTAAAATCGCATTTCTGTGTTAACTTGATTTTATTGTGTTTTAGGCAAATCCACCTGACCCAAGGACATTTCCGTTTATATTACTTGGAAACAAGATTGATATTGATGGTGGAAATAGCCGAGTGGTACGGGTTTGGAGTTGAGCCTGTTTAAAATTTGATGTTCTTTACCTTTGGCTCTAATATATCTATTTATAGGTCTCTGAGAAGAAAGCAAGGGATTGGTGTGCTTCAAAAGGGAACATACCTTACTTTGAGACATCTGCAAAAGAGGATTATAACGTTGATGCTGCATTCCTGTGTATTGCCAATAGTGCTTTAGCCAATGAGCATGAGCAGGATATGTAAGTTCACATTAAGAACTTGGCATGAATATCACTATCGTCACTTGTTAAATTTTTAATTCAATTGATTGGTATATGTGCTGCATGTGCAATGAAAAAATGCCATTTTTGGACATGAGCTACTTCTATGCTTGTAGAGGAAATTATGTTGATTCATTGTTTGTGTATCAGATCTATGTTATTCTTTGAATATGCCATTAGTTAAATAAATAGGATATCATTGGACCACAGAGCCTCGAGCTCAAGTGGTATCACCTCCTCCTCAGACATAGGAGGTTGAGAGTTCAATTCCCCTAGAGCTACCAGTGGGTTAGTGGTTGTGTGATTGTCTTGCCAACTCTGGGGAAAAAAATGATATCAATTGTTTTCAGGAGAGTGCTTATACCTTGTAGAATTTTCTTTTCCAATTTCCATATGGTAGAAAATAATTCTTTTATTTGGTAAAAGTGGTTTTTGTTATCTTGTTGGGGAGTATTTCTTGGTGTGATGGTTATAATTTTTTGTTATATCTTTTGTGGTTTTATCATGTTCTTTTACCTTATTAGTTATTGTTGTATATTATGAACATAGAAATAAATATTGAAAAATCTACTGCCTTACCCTTAAGGCTTACATTTAATCTTTCACACAGTAAAAGTTCTTGCCTAAAACTAGGAAAAAGAAAAAAGTTCGTGCCTAATGCTTTTATTTTTTATTTTCTATAAAAGCAGTGGTAGTTACAGCATATTCTTTGTTTTTTCCTATGAATTCCTTTGTTCAGTGAAATATTGAAATTTCTTGGAACACTTCGAATTATTCATGGTTGGAGAAGAAATATAAGATAGAAGGAATAGAAGAGAAATATGTAAAGGCTTGAATGAGATATTGCAGTCATTCACAGCTCTGGCATTTATATACTAAAAAGAGCACATGTTAATATTAAAAGAAATGAAACAGAATAAAATTATTGCATATTCTATGCCAAAATATATGCATAAATAAAGTCAAATTCCATTATTCTAGGCTATCATATCTCAGCTAATATAGTAAGTCACATCCATGATTCTAGACTATCATAACTCGGCTAACACTCCCCCTCAAGTTGGTGCGTGGAGATCTGAGATGCCGACTTGGACAATGCACCCTCAAACACGGTCTTCATAAACATATAGCCAACGATTATGTTTGGCTGCATTGAATTGACTAAGACATAACCATAGTCTTATCTCCAACTAACAATGTATCCTCAAACGATTTCCCTTCACACACGTTGTTGAAGGATTTAAATATTAAAGTTACACCCTCTCTAATAAATTAAACTTTTAGAGTAGATGGTTGTTAACATAGTATCAGAGCCAAAGGTCTCGAGTTCAAATCTCACCGTCACTTTGAAAATTAAAAATTGAAAACATGTGTTGGACCAAAAAGAAGGCCACATGTGAGGGGCCATGTTGAAGGATTTAAATATTAAAGTTACACCTGCTCTAATAGCTTAAACTTTTAGAGTTGATGGTGATGTGTGTTTTCTTCAATGATAAACCACTCGCAATAGTACGAATCCTTGCAGGATAGGGCTATATTGAGGGTGTCGAACTTCAAGGACTGCGGCAGTTATGTTGTCAAGATACTATGATTATTTATAATTTAATTCGAAAGAGGAGTTTTAAATTTTAATTTAACTAATTATTTAAATCTAACTTAAACTAAGTAATTGGAGAGATGAAGAGATAGAGAGTCTAAGGTATTGACTTCACCACTAATCCGCCCTCCAATGGTCAATTAGACATATTATTAGGATATTTTGTTTGATCAGAAGATGTATGACTACAAGCACATAACATAATTTATAAAGAAAAACTCATATGTCCATCTTCGGTTAGCATGGAACGTCTACTTAACTACATTAAACTAAGGGTGTAGTACGACCCATCTTCCCTTAGCATGCCTTTCAAACCCCTAAACATATGATCATTAAGCACCATTGCATAATAAACCTACCCTATAATCACACTTATCAAAAAAAAAAAAAACCTACCGTATAATCATAGAAAATAGAGAGGTTGAGGTCAATTATAAATCGTTCTTTCTAAGACAAGGTAAGATATCAAATATGATTGAATTTAAGCATTAAATCCCAAAATCAAGGTACAACCATTGTTTTGCCATTAATCATGCAATCATCATACAATAAATAATCCCAATAAAATAAATAACTAAACCATTGGAGTTAAAATTAGGGTTACATCAATCCCTTAGAAAGAGTTTAGCCGCTCATGGAGAAGGAAGAAGACTTCATGTATGTGGAAACCTCCATCTTCATCTTCTCTTGCTTGATCTTATCTTTGAAAACTCCTCTCTAACTCTGAAGAAATTCTCTAAACTATACTATCAATGCCCCTCCTCTCCTCCTTCTAGTTGTGAAGAAAACCTTATTTTTATAGCCCTTGAAGCCACTCCAAAACAGATTAGGAAATAGGAAATCTGCCAAACTCGGACTCTAAAATTCATGCTATCTTACAATCCAGTTTTGACATAGTAAACTTCCTTTTCACGAAATTTCTGTGAAATACAAAGTTGTAGATCTTCGAATTTCCTTTCAACCACGTGGAATTTGAGCCATTTTGACACACTCAAAGAAGGAGATACAGCCGGAATACCAAAACAGGTCCAGTTTCCAAATCAAGAAAGAATTTCCTAGTTGGAGAAGGATTCTTCCTTTTCTTCTTGTTTCCATTCTTATCAGCTTGTGACTTCTTTTGGGCTCTTCTTCAAATCTAATTGAACTTGGATCTTCATCATGGCTCTCCCCAACGAATGTGATCTTCCCCTAATCTCTTGGATATTATCTTTAAAGCACAAAACCCATGGTTTTAAATGACTTTATTATTAAGGGCCTGAAAATAAGAAAAACACTAAAACAACATAAAATCACAAATAAAACTATTACCAAGAGAATAAAATATGCAAGTTCAGGGCTCAAATGTATAACATTTCAGTGCTTATCAGATGGTTGTACACACATGTTTAAAATATGTAGATGGAAGAATCAACAATGTCTTCTTTCAACATTCCCGAAAAATCCAAATACAGTCTTTTTTAGGGCGCTTGCCTTGGACCCAAAAGTCGTCGGCGGTTTATATCCATGGATGTTTCTTTCTTTGAGCATACACCATACTATAGTGGTTCAGTTGATTCTCAAAGTGAATGGTTCCCATTTAATATAATGGATGATCACCTTCTTCCATCTTCAACTCTTCTACCGTTACCTGTTTCATCTTCTATGATTCCTCCTCGTGATGCCTCTCTAGCAGGGGGAATTGTTCCTTTTTCACAGGTTTATAGTCGGAGACAAAAGGTACAAGCTTCTGCTCCCACAATCGACTGCCCTGTTCCTTCGGCACCAGCTCCGCCTTCTCCTACTGTTTCGCTTGATGATCGCTCCATTGCTCTTCGAAAGGGTAAACGTTCTTGTACATACCCTATTTCTAATTTTGTTTCTGATTATGCTCTCTCACCCTCCTATCGGAGTTTTCTTGTTTCTGTTGCCTCGGTTCCTCTTCCTTTTAGTGTTGCAGATGCACTAGCACAACCTCAATGGCGTGATGCTATGACAGAAGAACTAGAAGCACTTGAGAAAAATTGGACTTGGGACATGGTTCCGCCTCCTATTGGACGAAAGGTTGTGGGTTTTCGTTAGGTGTTTACAGTTAAGCATAATCCAAATGGGTCAGTTGCTTGTTACAAGGCTCGGTTGGTTGCCAAGGGTTATGCTTAGACTTATGGCATAGATTATCAGGAGACTTTTGCCCCTGTTGCTAAGATGAATGCCATCCGTGTATTACTTTCCGTTGCTGCAATTCGATCTTGGCCTCTATTTTAGTTAGATGTCAAGAATGCCTTTCTCAATGGTGATTTGCAGGAGGAGGTGTACATGGTTCCTCCTCCGGGCTTTCGTTCTCCTGCTTATTCTGGTATGGTATGTCGTCTTCGTCGTTCTCTGTATGGCCTCAAGCAGTCTCCTTGAGCTTGGTCTGATCGCTTTGGCACTGCCATGCTCAAGTTTGGTATCCATCAAAGTGCAGCTGATCATACCTTGTTTTTACGTCATTCAGGCGGTAAGACAATTGCTCTCATTGTGTATGTCGATGATATTGTCCTTATTGGCGATGATATTACCGGAATTGTTGAGGTTAAGAGCTATCTTGGCCGTTAGTTTGACATTAAGGATCTTGGTCCCCTACGGTACTTCTTGGGCACTGAGGTGGCTCGCTCCAAGGCTGGCATTTTCATCTCTTAACGCAAGTATGTTCTTGACTTGCTTTCTGCTTCTGGTCAGCTTGGCGCTCGTCCTGCTGATACTCCGATTGAGCAGAATCATCGGTTGGCTGATTCTGAGGGGGAGTTGTTGTCAGATGTTGGTCAGTATCAACGACTTGTGGGGAAGCTCATCTATTTATCATGACTCGACCTGACATTGCTTATGCCGTGAGTGTTGTGAGTCAATTCATGCACTCTCCTCGTGCCCCTCACCTTGATGCAGCTATTTGGATCCTTCGTTACTTAAAAGGGTGTCCAGGCCGTGGTGTTTTATTTGCCAATCATGGTCACTTACGTGTTGAGGCGTGGACAGATGCTGATTATGTAGGATCAATTTCAGATAGGAGGTCAATTTTGCGTTATTGTACCATTATTGGTGGTAACTTGGTTACTTAGCGTAGTAAGAAGCAGGATGTTGTCTCTCGATCTAGTGCAGAGGCAGAGTATAGGGCTATGGCTCTTGGGGTATGTGAGTTGCTATGGCTGAAAACCTTGATGACAGACTTGTGCCTTCCAGTTTCGCTTCCATTCTCACTCTACTGCGACAACAAGTCTGCCATTAGCATAGCAGCAAATCCCATTCAGCATGACAGGACTAAGCATATAGAGGTGGATCGTCACTTCATTCGAGAGAAGATCATCTCTGGTCAAATTTGCACTCTATTTGTTACAAGCTCTTAGCAGCTTGCAGACATTCTTACAAA